TCCACCGTCTCTCCCTCGAATAGTTAGGTGTTATGGGCTATGTATTCATCAGACGAGCCCTGTAAATATGGACTAGGAACGTTTTCACATTCTTTTACACTTTGAATTCAACGCCTTGTTTCTTTCCTTTTTTTCTACATCAAATTCTTTCATACGTACGGCCTCCTGCTACCTTAGCCGAAGTGAGCACCTCTTTACCTATTTGGGTCCAGTTTTGGTTGAAAGAGAATTGTTCCATGACATTGTCACAGGAACAAATGCTAAAGCAGGGTTTGAGATATATGCTCCTCAATTTTTTGCTCGCCAACTTGGTTTTGGCCAAACATGGCCTGTCCCTCCTTGTTACTCTAAAAGTTTGGCCAAGCGTTTCCATATTATCAGTAAAATTGAAGCACAAGCCATTGACATTCGTAATAACCGTTTAGCTGAAGGCTTCTCTTTAGCCCCTTTCAGTTCCACCACTATTACACATCCTCTTTTTGAATAGCTTTGGCCATCAGTGAAACGTAGACTATTTGCAACTGATGCTAATCGCACCTTCAATTTACTGGACCGGTGAAACACTTCCTCTGCTTTCCCTGTTTTAGCCGCTCCTGTGTCCATTAGGAGTCCTTCCTCACCAGCTTACATTAAATGTTCTATTCCTCCGTCTTCTTCTCCTTTTGCTAAGACCATCACATCCAAAGGCACCTCCAGCCACAAACGGTCAGCCTCAGTATCTCCCATTTTGCAAGATGATGATGATGATGCTCCTCTCATTCTTAGGAGAAAGGTAACTGAGTCTGTTTATTCACAAACATACTTACTTATGTACTAATGGTTTACCTGAATTCTTCAGAAGAGTTCAGCCTCCCTTTCGAAGGCTCTAGTTTTGACACGTCCTGTTTCATCGCCCTCTACAGAGGTTGCTTCATCCAAATCAGCTGATGAAGAGAATATGCTCAAAGACAAAGCCCTAGTCCCAGAATCTTCATTGCAACCAGCAGCAAGATCATAGCCAGTACAAAAACCATCTATTTTCCAGGCCGTCGACCCCCCAGATGTTGAACCGGAAGGTAGTACATATTCTAATGTGTTTTACCTTTGCTTGTACTTCTGATTTTTATTCGTTGCTTTCTTGAAGTATACAGAGGCTCTCATGGAGCTGTCCATTGTGGCAGAGTCTTCTCGTCCAGACAAGGAGAAATCTCCATTGGTGGTGGAGGCAACTGCTGACATGCCTGAATCCCCCAGGATTGATGATACAGTAAACTTTTAACTCACTTTCATCTTCACTTTGCTCGTCATGGCGAAGGTCGTTATATTTGGCTTCTTTCTTTGCAGGGTGCTGATGACATTGTGCGTTCCATCTAAGTCTTGTTCACTTCCAGGAAGAAGTAAAGACACTTCGCCCTACTTCAACCAGTCATTCTTCTACTTCATCCTCCGCTTTTTCGGAAGAAAATATGAAGTCTTCGAAGCAGCAGACAATATTCGAGTACATGTCTTTCATGGACATGGAAATTGGCCAGGCCAGCGCTGCTAAACAGAGGGATAAGTTTGAACTGTTGAGTGCAAAGTTGACGCAAGCTCTTACGCTCCCTTCGCTCAACTTTTCTGCCGACTTTAAAGCGACATT